TGACAGAGCTATCTATGCCGACTTAAGATATCACCGGTTGCTTCCACAGTGCTGTTGATGCCAACGGAAGATGTGTCAGCGAAAAAAAGGAAAAGAAAAATCACAAGTTGTGAGAATTTGCGCAGGGCAATTTTGTATTGATTTGCAGGGGGCCTCCCGTTGCTGAATGTCTTGTATTTATAGTAGCAGAACACCGAGCCCGAGTTCCAATCCTATTCGAACTAGGTTTCCTTCTCCGGATTAATATTACCTCGATCAGTCCTATCTCCGCTAGGACTACGAATCTAGTCCTTAACTGAGCCGGATTCGCTTTCTAGTTTATTGATCTCGTCGAGAGTCCCTATTGTACTAGGACTCGACTTGCATTCTGATTTAACCGACCTAGGCTTGGAAGCTCATGAGCTGAACGCTCCATGACCCTTTCGCCGTACGGCTTCCCGGGCCGAGAGTGATTCTTCCCTCGGCCCAAACTGCTATTTTGGGCCCAAACAATTATGTGTGATGAACTGGGTATGTTCTTGCAATGCAAATCTTGTGGGTGATGCATTTTGCATGATGTATGATGTATGATGGTTGATGGTTGATGCGTGATGTGTGATAATGAGATTGCACCATGTATCAATATGGTACATGGATGATCTTGCCTGGTTAATCCGCATTGGGATCATACTCATCCTAGGGATGACTCTGCCTGGTTAATCCATAATTGTGGATCACTGCCTACTTGGTCACATTACTTCTGTGGGTAGTCTCACTTGATTAATCCGCAATGGGGGATCAAACTATTGGACCCTTGCCTATAGTCCCGCCTGGTTAATTCTCATTAGGGGGACTATATGCATTCGAGGGGTGACTACACTTGGTTAAGGGATCACTGCCTACTTGGTTACTTGTTTGCATATGTGATCCTGCATGGTTAATTCACATTCAGGAACTACACTACTAAATAGATGCCTATGATCCTGCTGGTTAATCTGCATTGGGGGACCATACGCATTGAGTTGGTTCGAAATCCCACTTCCTATTTGGTTCCATTGAGTTGGTTTAGAATCCTGGATTCTTGTGAATACAGTTGCTTAAGGTGGATTCTTGTGTTTGTAATGAGATTACAATGTCATTGTTTTGGAACCCAGGTAAGGAAATGAGGTAGATCTATATGGAGATTGGCCCTATTAATTTTGTGAGGTGACATTTGATCGTATTGGCTGATCAATGTTGTTAGATGTTAATATTGTACCGCTTTGGATCATTGAATTGTTAATTGTTGCTGATTGTGGAATTATCGGTAGAAAGCATTGTGATGTATGTGAAAGATGAAATGACATTTGTAGCATCACTCCGCATTGGGAGTTGTCTAGAACTTAATGTTTGCTGCTAGTTAATATCATGAGAAGTCTTGAAAGCCATCGTGAATACAACACTTTGGAGCTTAACAAAATGGAAAACTACGAATAACTTGATCCTGTCTTAGGGTATATAGACAGTCTAATCCAAGAGTTGTACATAAACAGTCTAACCTAAGGGTTAGATGCAACCATAAAATAAACAAGAGGATGCTACGTTGTTGAACTACTGGCTTTGTTAGTCAGGTGCTCTGGTTATGTATTTATTGAAGTACTGAACCTAGCTTGGTTATTTGTGGCTGTCCCAATACGGCTCGACGTCACGAAACCCGAAAATTGGTGTGAACGAATCATATAACAAAAGCAAATGTTTTACAAACCTGAAGAATCTAACCAAACTTTTGTTCCTTCCAAGTGTTGTTCACTTTAATATACACAATACATAAGTTATGCAAGATATTATCTGTGAAATTTATTATACAAAGCACTCTATTCTATCTATTTTGTTTATATAGGTGCTTTTATCTTAAGTTAGAATAGAAACTGAGAGTGTCCCAATGCCTACACCACATTCCTAGTGTCTATTTATCCAGTTCAAAGGCCTGAACAAACTTGGGTGCAACTTGGAATACTGACGAAATTCTTACCGGAACGCCAGGTATGGTTTCAGCCTTCGTTATTGAATCCTTCATCTATAATACCAGGTAGATCCAATGCAAATTTTTTCTGCAACACTTATGAGCAAGCTTATATTTTTCAGTTCTCGCCGGAACTTTAATCCATATTTTTCACTGATAACTTGAAACTTTACAAAACCTAAAAGGAAACAAAAAGTTGTCTGTGTGAGATTATGATGAGAAAAGAATGAGACTATCAAACAAAGGCTGGGGAAGGAAGCATTAACTTCAAAATCATTTGAACACCACTTATCGTTTTGAGTTGTTTTCACAGGGAGTTTGATGGTCAGAGAGAAGCTTCGAATCTCCATTTTTTTCCTATTTTAATATTTCTCCACAGCAATATAAACCTTAAGGTCGTACCCAGTGCACAAGGCTCCCGCTTTACGCAGGGTCTGGGAGAGGTAAATGTCGGCTAGCCTTACCCCCATTTATGGAGAGCCTGCTCCCAAGTCTCGAACCCGAGACCTACAGCAATATAAACCTTATATTAAAAAATTAGTATTTAAGACTACAAATTTATTTAGATATGGCCGCAGTTTTGAGCTTCCATATAGGGAAGAGCAAGTCAAGGGAGAACTCCCATATTGACCATCAGTAGTTATACATAACACTTTATATACCTTGCACAAAGCATACACATCGTCGAGCTTAGTAATGCAAGCTTGTAACCCGAGTGGGGACATCAGGGTGTTGGAACGTTGGTTCGGCCTCAGCTGGTTGGGTTTGTTTGTCATGGCTTCATTCTGGTCCCCCCATATCAAGCTGGGAGTTGGGCCACGGGGTTTGGGTGAAAGCTCATGCTTCACGGTTCCTAGAGTGGAGGGCACCGCGTAAGGCTGGTTTCACAGAGCAACGATCACCTCCCCCTCTCAGCAGTGGAGGGATAACGGGTCGGTTCCATCCGGATCCACCATGGCCCGCTAGACTGGCCCAATTGGACCAACGTCTTTTATATATTTGCTTGTGTGGCATATACAGTAATATATACCGACTGTAGAAAATCGTAACCGATAACAACCATTAAGGGAAAATAAAATTTAAAAAAAAAAGTAATTTATTTGAGCTATTTGGTACTTATTTATGCTTTGGTAGTGATGGTCCTGCTGATTTTGGCCGTGCCAAGCTAGCAATTGTGCTGCAACAAAGCTTCGAACAAGTAATTAAACTTGCTGAAAACATATAATTTGCACAATCATCTTCCATTTCGACAATGGCCTAGCAGCAGTCTTGTTGAACGGCGACTTTTCGAGTCCAGTAAGATACGCAAATCTCATGGTAACAAGTTGCAGAAGCAGTGTGGTAAGCTCCAAGGCAGTTTAGCTTAGGATCAGGGTGCCAACATGAGTACACTGGAGCAGCTGCACGCGTTTTGGGTGTTCAAAGGCCTGCACAAACTTGGATGCAAACCGGAACATTGACGGACATTCTTACCGGAATATCAGGCTGTTTCAGCCCTGCTAGCTACAATTACTCCCACATCGACCATCGGCGGCTAAATAAAGCACTTTATATAACTTGCCCGAAGCAGAGGCAGCGTCGAGCTTATTAACTCAAGCTTGTAACCCGAGTGGGGACATCAAAGTGTTGGAACGTTGGTTCGGCCTCAGCGGGTCGGCTCTGTCGTGGCTCTATTCTAACCCGCCCGTTCCAAGCCCGGAGTTGTGCCGTGGAGTTTGGGCGAAGGCTCATGCTTCACGGCTCCTAGAGGGGAGGGCACCGCGGAAGGCTGGCTTCACAGAGCAACGACCACCTCCCGTTCTTGGCAGTGGAAGGATAACGGGTTGGTGCCACTCGGATCCGATATGGCCTGCTGGACTGTCCCAATTGGACCAACATTTTTTCATCCTCTTTTTATTGTTCTTATCATTTTTTTTTTTGGTTGCTTTTTTAACGGGTAAGGGATTTGAATTGGTCGGAAGAGATTCGAATTGGTCAATTTCTACTTGTCCAACGGTACGATATAATTTGTATAACTACTACTTTTGACATTGTTGATTTCCAAGTTGTATAAACAATCATTGACAAATGTTTTGAACGAGTTTGAGATTTGAATTGGTCGGAAGAGATTCGAATTGGACAATTAAACTTGTCCAACTGTATGATAGAATTTGTATAACTACTACTTTTAACATTGTTAATTCCAAGCTACATAAACTATCATTGACAGATGTTTGTTAAATCAATTAGTTAAGTAATGTGCTCACTCCGTTGCACTCAAGTTTGAGTTTGTTTTCTCGTAAATTATAGTTTAAAATATTGTTTTGTTAATTAAAAAAGAAAGTTTGAAAGGCTGCCTTAATTAGCGGGCTTGGTCATTTGATTTCTAAGCAATTCTTAAGGGAACATTCTATCACGTTCATTTGCGGTGCTTAGTCAACCAAGGTAGGAAATAAAATGTCCAATTTGTCATGAAGTGCAAAATTTTGGCAGGTAAAGATAACAATCACCAATTAATGATGCAATTTGCGTTTACAGCCACAATTTGCGTTCCGCCGATTAATATCGGCATTCGCAAAAGCAAAATGAAAATTTGCAAAGTGCTTCTCAACTTCTCACGCGTTTTTTTCTTCTAAAAAAACAGCTTCTCATTACTTTTATGTGAATTTTTTTACTTGACATGATGAGACTTCGCACTTAATTGGCTCATATTTTCTTAGGTAATTAATACCCTTTTCTGAAACAACCCCATGACAACTTTAAAAGGTTCATCTCCAAAAGGAGAATAAGGACTACACACACTCGCGCGATGTTAATGTCATTACAAAGGAGAATAAGAACTACATGCACTCTCGGGATGTTAATGTTATTACAGGAATTCTAACGGGTGCATGTAAGTTTCTCGCATCTATAAGATATTAAACTTTGACTTGAATTTCCAATTATGTACATTATCCAGATTTTTAAAAAGTAGTTAAACTTTTTGAGATCTAGAGAGAGAGAGAGAGAGAGAGAGAGAGAGAGGAGCCCCAATGCCATTATATATGTAGTCATGCCCCTAAACAAATGCATATATTTTTCTAACTTTGTTGTGAACATGAGACTCTTATTCATGTCAATAGTGTTAAGCTTATTATGCAGAGAACTAAGGCTCGTTTCCAGTGATATCGGCACAGCAACGTCTTACGGTCCTCCTTATATACGTGAGCAAACAACATATTCTTCTTTCTATATGCTTATACAATGAATATATAAAGATATTTAATAAATTATGTCGTCAGAAATTATGAATTAGAGAACTACGTACACATTCATATATATATATATGTGTGTGTGTGGATTATAGTTAATGTTTTTCAATGGCATATTGTAATTGTGGTGCAGCTACAAAGTGCTTTGGAAGTAGGCAAGACCAGTTCCCTCCGGGGAATCTGTTTGTGGCGGTGAGTGAAGGGTTGTGGGACAATGGTGCTGCGTGTGGAAGGCGGTATAGACTGAGGTGCCTGAGTGGACGTAATAAGCCCTGCAAGGGTGGTGCTACCGTGGACGTGAAGGTGGTTGATCTTTGTCGAGATTCAACCTGCCCTTCTACCGTAGTCATGTCAACTGATGCTTTTGCAGCCATCTCACACTCTCCTTCTACAAGAATCAACGTCGAATATGTCCAGTAAATAACTATATAATTTTGCATTCTTTTATAGTTCTACTATTATTTTCCTTATATCTACATACATACTAATATGTCGATCGTTTGATCTACAGGATATGAAATCAGCTGAACCAGATATATGATGACCAATTACAGCTGAGAATATCATCAATTATATTGACTTTGTAGTTCATGTTGGACTCAGGTTTATAATGATATCGAGAAGCTTTGTAATAATAATTAATATGATGCTACATTTTCTTAATTTGTACTACACTAGTCTTCAATAAAATGATACGCAGAGTTTTTTTTATTTTTTTATTTTTTATCCAAGAAGCACCATCTACATGCCAATAAAAGAAAAAATAACATTACTTCTTTCACATTTACTGATCATGTATAATGTAAACTACGCTCCCGATTTTGTTCTTTTAATTTGCTTATAATTAAATAAGAAAATGATATAACAACATACCTCACATACACTCCTCTGTTTTTTTTTTTTTTGGCCCTCAATTATGATAGAGATGTTTCCGAGCCTTTGCATTTGGAAATGAGACTAGACTACAGTCTGCAGATGCAAAATCTAATTACCTCTTAGTGCATGCACATATATTATATTGCAATGTTCATCATTATTAATGTAATGGGAAATACTCTCTTTTTTTTTTCAATTAATTTTGAGTTGGATGTCTAGTTATGTTCTACTCAATTGTTTTGTAGCCCTTAAACACGTTTCATTTAGCACCTAATCAACAATACCTATCCGACTTACCCATTATAGTCATTATGCAGTATTGACTTTCCTTCGTACATACAAGTGAGTTATCACAGTACCATATTTCAAATCAATCACATATTATCATGTGTTGTAATTTTTTTTATATAAATAGTACAATTAACTTGAAATACAACAACAATAACATCCCTTGAAAGTTTTTGTCTCCACTTTGAGCCATGAGTGGGATCTATCTATTTTAGCCAGCTGCACCTTATCGAAATGGAACCTCCACTGAGTCAAGATATAAAACAACTAATGGTCGTTAACAAAACGGAATGTGCATGGTTTTGTAGCCTTTCCAACCAGCTACGCCTTTTATTAGAACTCAACAACTGTATCATAAGTGATGAGTGGGCTGATGTGTAGTGTATTATCATGTCCACTATTGCAACTAAGAACTAATCGATCTCATCAGCTTACAAATTATTTTTTACATCTCTTCTTCTGGTATATGACCACTAATCATGAACTTTAGATGCATGCTACTTTTTCACCAATGCTTGAATTAATTAATTATGTAATTTCACAAGATTCGAAAGACTATGTACTCGTACTGAATGTATTCGATAATATACATATAAAAGTGTAAAACTGTACGAGGATGTCACGTACAATTGAATCCCTATTATGAGAACATTGAATTCCTATTCTAGGTCCATTAACTCAGGTCAACACACATTAAATCTCTGTGGTACATTGATTCACGCTTACATATATATACATGGAATCCCTGTGGTATTGACTCACGCCAACATATACAATATTTTCTTTATCACAATCCCTACTCCCAAACATGCCGCTCCTTGCTCGTGTTGGATTGGGTTTAGGGCCAAACCTGTTGTACTTAGGGATAGAAGGTTGTGCTTCTTTAAATAAATCTTTTTTTTTTTTGAAGAACTTCAAATAAATTGTGTAACATCCCACATTGTCCAGGGAAGTGGATCATGTAAGCCTTATATGTATATTTCTATCTCTACCTAGCACGAGGCCTTTTGGGAGCTCACTGGCTTCGGGTTCCATCGGAACTCCGAAGTTAAGTGAGTTTGGGCGAGAGCATTCCCACGATGGGTGACCCACTAGGAAGTTCTCGTCTGAGTTCCCAGAAACAAAACCATGAAGGCGTGGTCGGGGCCCAAAGTGGACAATATCGTGCTACGGTGGAGTCGAGCCCGGGATGTGGTGGGGGCTCGGGTTAGGATGTGACAATTTAGTATCAAAGTAAATCCTTGGTCGGAAGTGTGCCGACGAGGAAGTCGGGCCCCTAAGGGGGGTGGATTGTAACGTCTCACATTGACAATATCGTGGAGTCGAGCCCGGAATGTGGTGGAGGCCCGAGTCAGAATGTGACAAATTGTTTGTCGTATTTGTATTCGTTCATTTATGTATAATAGTATGATTTGGTTTAGTTAGTAGCATCGCAGTCCCAATGCAAACTGAAGTCAAGACAAAATTGAAACGAGGAATTCCTATAGTACCTTAATAAGGTTTTATTTACAACAATATGAATTTGAGATACATTAGATTAGATTTATGAAAATAAGAGATTTATTTTTCCCCTTTTTAATCAAGAATATGATGAATGATGAAATGTTTTAGATATATAATAAGGATAGGAAGAAGAGCCTAATTTAAAGTGAAGCCCAAAGTACATGTTTTGTTTGTCTTTCCTCTATGCCGCCTTTGTGCAATCCAATATTCTCAATTGCTTGATTATCTCTTTTACTTAAACAAGGTAGTGGGAAATCTTCTTTCTTGACCTTGTAAGTTTGATATTGATCTGAAGAGGGATATTCTATTATAAGTGGAGAGAGGATTGAGCCAGACTGCAATAAGTTAGCTACTAATTATTGAATTCATCACAAATAAATGCTATTTTCATCGATGTCAGTCGAATATGAGATCTTTCATTTACTAATGAAGAAAAATATTACTATAGATTGTAGTTTAGTTGGTAAAGTATATAAAAAAAAAGTTGTTCATACCATTCATTTGTATCATCTGTCTAATAAAAATGGAATCCACATGAGTTCATAGGCCCTACCTCTATTTAAGAGAAAATATAAATGATGATATAAATAGATGATAAGTGTAACATTATTCAAAGTATATTACTCATTGAGCCGCCAAACAATTAAATAATGGAGACAAATCATTATATCCTATTAAATAAGGAAAATTTTATTAGCACTTCAAAAATCTTATTTTACACTTCTCACAATTATATTTTTCTTTCCTAATATAGAAAATTTGAAGTGTAAAATGAAATTTATGGAATGCTAATAAAAATTCCCTTAAATAATTGAGATTAACTTGAAGTCATCATATTCAGAGAATCATGATTCAGCAATTAAAAACATGGAAAATGTCTTATCGACTTCGAAAGCAAAGTGGCATGGTAGTTATCTCATAACTGAGGATCAATCATCTCTTAGTAGTCATAAGAATCCTAATAAATAATTTATTTATTTATTTATTAATTTTCTTATAAACTGCGAGTTCAGAGAGTCAAAGATGATACCAACTCAAGAGTGATAAAGCAAAACAAAATTTCTTTTTCTCATCTACTTATAGTTAAATGAAAATAATGTGTAATTAAAAATTGTCCAAATTTCCTCTATAACTATTATTCTTCATTCCTCTCTCTTTTCATCTTTTACTTTTTGGCCATAGGATAATGTTCTTATGACGGAGTTTTGGACTCTTACTTTTTGTGTAGATAAGTTTGAGTCACATGTAATGGCAGAGCTAGGAATTTAAGACAATAGGGTCAAAAAATAGCTTTCAAAAATTTATCATGCAATGGCGGAGCTAGGAATTTATGACAATAGGGTCAAAAAATAGCTTTAAAAATTCTATCATACTTTCATTTATAATTGTCCACGACGTGTTCTCATATTTTGGAAACGTCGTATTACAACATCATTATCAATAAAATCTGTTGATGCACAAAACCGGAGGGGTCTTCGAACAACGTAACTCCGACCGTGAATTTGCAAGAAAGTAAAGAACACAAGATGTATCGTGGTTCACCCCAATGTTTGGGCTACGTCCACACTGATGTTGATTCTATTTCTCTGTATGAATGTATGGATTACAAGTGTGAGGGGGAGTCCCCAGAGAAAGAGAGTGTTGTTGTGTTTGTGAGGATATTCCCTCTGTTGGGTTCACAGAGTTCGATTTGTGAGGGGGGAGGAGTCCCCTTTTATAGAATAAGGGGCTCCTCCTTTTACATAATTATAGGCCGGGTAATGAGGCCCAAATGTTGAGGCCCAATGTGTCAAGGTCTGAGGCCCAATATGTGTGGTACCAACAATAGTCCCCCAAGTCTTCAGTCAAGAGAGTCTTTTGGCTGGAGACTTGAAATTCAGTCCATGTGTGGGCCGAAGTAACTAGATATCGTCTAGAACTGATACTCGATATGAGGCAGTGCTCAATGTGAAATGGTGCTCAGCTAGAAGTAGCACATGTTGCGAGGCTGCTTGGCTTGTGGCTTATGTTGCCTTGGTTGGCTAGGCTTATGGCGTTGAAGGTGAGGGAGTCCCTTTTATAGAATAAGGGCTCGCTCCTCAATACATAAATGATGGGTTAGAGTTGATGCTCGTGGCGAGGCGGTTGCTCAACAGGTGGCGATGCTCTCTAATGATGGTAAGAGAGTTCCTTTTATAGAATAAGGGCTCGTTCATCAATACATAAGTGATGGGCTAGAGTTGATGCTCGCGGCGAGGCGGTTGCTCAGCAGGCGGTGATGCTCTCTAATGATGGTGAGGGAGTCCCTTTTATAGAATAAGGGCTCGCTCCTCAATACATAAGTGATGGGTGCTCTCTAATGAAAGTGAGGGAGTCCCTTTTATAGAATAAGGGTTCGCTCCTCAGTACATAAATAATGGACTAGAGTCCCCCAAGTATTTTTCATGAGGCCCAGTTGTGGAAGCCCAATATATGGTACATAGTGTAGTCCCAAGACAGTGTGAAGCAAAACCAATTTATGGTGCCAACAATAGCTTCATCAATGGAGGGCAACCACAATTCTCAAAAGCTTCACACACTTTTGATCAAGACAATGTGAAGCAAAACCAATTTATGGTGCTAACAAGAGCTTCATCAAAGGAGTTCAACCACAATTCTCAAAAGCTTCACACACTCTTGATCAAGACAGTGTGAAGCAAAACCAATATATGGTGCCAACAAAAGCTTCATCAATGAAGGGCAACTACAACTCGTAGAAAGCTTCACACACTATTGATCAAGACTGTTCGAAGCAAATTCAATTTATATGGTTCATCCAAACCTTCGACTACTACAAGGTGTGGCTTGCATCATAATCTCTTGCTCAACAATATGGAAGCAAAATTTGTATATGTTGTCTCTCCCACATTTTCAAATTTCTAGTTTCCCAAAAAAAAATAAAAATGGCAAGCCTAATATAATGGGCTGGAATGTTATGTGGATGGCGAATGCCCATATGCCCAAAAGAGCCAGGCCCTATGGCTTCAAACTCCAACCTCCATCCCTTCACTTAAAGTTCACCCTCTATTATCACCAACCAAGTGA